AAAAAAAAAAAAAAAAAAAAAAAAAAAAAAAAAAAAAAAAACAAAACAAAAAAAAAACGACATCTTGAATTTTGCAGGAAAATGGATGGAGCTAGAAAACATTATTTGGAGTGGGGTAACCCAGACCCGGAAAGACAATTATCACATGTACTCTCTCATAGGTGGTTCTTAAACATAAGGCAAAGAAAGCCAGCCTACAAACCACAATCCTAGAGAACTTAGACAACAATACGGACACTAAGAGAGACTTACATAGATCTAATCTACATGGGAAGTAGAAAGTATAAAAAGACAACATCTCCTGAGTAAATTGGGAGCATGGGGACCTTGGGGGAGGGCTGAAGTGGGGAGGGAAGAGGCAGGAAGGGGAGCAGAGAAAAATGTAGAGCTCAATAAGTATCAATAAAAAAGTATAAAAAATAAAAAATACCCTAAAAATAAAATAGGTATTAAATCAAGGCCTCTTCCACGTGATACAAGTGCTTTATCACTAAGTGGGCCCCTCTCTCTTTGGTCCTTTGCCATTCGGGACATGGAGTTGTGAGCTTTCTGTTTCAAGCCCCGGAGTATCTGAGATTACAGAACATTTCCAGGAAACGTGGTTTCAAAAATGTTGAAATAGGAGCGGCGGGGCTTGCGTCCCCGGCACCCGGCCGCCCGCATGGCTAGCTTATGTCCAGAATAATTACACGGAAACTGTATTCTATTAAACACTGCCTGGCCTGGCTAGGTCCAGCTTCTTATTGGCTAGCTCTTACATATTGTTCTAACCCATTTCTAATATTCTGTGTAGCCCACGAGCTGGCTTACCAGGGAGGATCTTAACCTGCGTCTGTCTGGAGCAGGAGAACCATGGCGACTCTCTCTAAGCTTCTTTTTCCCAACATTCTCTTCTGTCTACTCCGCCTACCTAATTTTCTGTCCTATGAGGGCCGAGGCAGTTTCTTTATTATTAAGAAATCACTCCCATATCACAAAAAAGCAATCCTAAAGAGTTTGTGTGTCCCAATGTAGCTTTCTGCTCCATTATCCTGAAGTAAAATTGTGTCAGTGTGAACTTTCCTCCTGCCCTAATTTCCTAAGTAAACCTGAGCTTTTTAAGTCACGACATATTGATCAGAGTAAGCAATAAAAGCAATACACATTGCCGTTAAAAGCTGAACTCACTTGGTAATCTGGGATTTCAACAGCAGCTTCATTTCAGGGATGGTCCGCAGGCAGTAAACTGTATGTAGTGTGCTCTGAGGTTTGAGGCAGTCCTTCGCATAGCCTTGTGGGAAATGTAGTCTCTCACCGCGACGTCAACTGGACTGTACTCTGCTGTCTGTGCTTCCGGGTTCATTCTACATTTTTTGTGTTTCTCCAAACTCTGCGCCTTTCTCAAAGTTGGGAGAGTGTGGCTTGTGTTCCGCGTTCGCCATGGAGGTTGGTCAAGGGTGCAGCGTAGCCTTGCAGGCTCGGGGGCCTGTGCAGGGTGGGCAGGTCCGGCCTGGAGGGAGCGGAGGAGGGGTGGGTGGGAGGCGGGGAGAAGCTGCCTGGTGCGAGCTGTGCCGACACAGGGCTTGGCCGATGGCTGGGGAGCGCTGGGGAGTGGGCATGCTGAGGGTGCGGGAGCGAATGCTCTGCTGGGGACCCGGCGGGCAGGAGTCGACCCTGTGCTTCAGGGACCGGAGAGCTGGCCCACTAGTGCAAGAAGGGAGAACGTGGAAGGAATGTCCAGGATTGCTAGAGCAGGGTGGCTTGGCCGACTGCTTGTGCCCGAGGCCATGGTGGGAGCTCACAGTCCAGCTTGGCTAGGGAAGCACGTCCTTATTACCGCTTACATTGCTGCTGTCAGATTTCTCAGGACATCTACATCTACAGCAAGTAGGGTTTTCTGGTTCCTCCTGTACCCTGTAGCCGGCCTGGGAATCTTGGTTTAAGTTGACAGAAGTTCATAAAGCTCCTCGATTCCAGGACAGAGTTCTGTGGGAGAGTTTGGTATTTGGGATGTTCGTCTCGTTTTCTTTAGAACAAATGGTTAGTTTCCAGGATGGCTCACTTTGGATAGGAATCTGTTCTGTATACCCGCCTTGACCGGATCCTCCCACACGCTCACGTGAGGCGGGAAAAATTCCACAAAGGGCACACTCTAAGCGTGGCGCGTTCCAACTGATCCTACATTGCAGGGTAAAAAATACTAGAAAACAAGACCACATCCAATCGCACCAGAGACAGTGATGTCAGCAATTCGGACTCCTTTCCTGAGAGGAGAGGTTAGTTGGTGTGTGGATTGTTAATGGAGTGGCCTTGAATGTCTCTGGGCTGGAGAAATAGTCTCCTACACCCTACAGGCTGTCTACAGTGCGCTCTAATCGCAAGCTTTTCTTCCATCCTTCCGGTGTCTAGGAACTCTGAAACCAATGAGTCTGAGTTGTCTTGAGGGGGCGGGGAGATGCCCAAGTATTTATACAGTGTCCAGAAAGATTAAAAGATGAAGTTGATCTGTGGTGATTTGTATACAGTCGGCTGCTCAAAATGGTTTTTGTTTGTTTTTCGAGGCAGGACTTCTCTGTGTCACAGCTTTGGCTGTCCTGGAACTAGCTACAGGCCAGGCTGGCCTTGAGATTTCCCTGCCTCTGCCTCCAGACCGCTTGTGTGCCACCACACCCGCTTCACCCTGTTGTGCTGCGGTATATTTTGCCACCTTTAATCCCAGCACGCGGGAAGCAGAGGCAGGAGGATCTCTGAGTCCCAGGACAGCCAAGGTTCCACAGAGAAACCCTGTCTCAACAAAACAAAACAAACAAAAAGCAAAACTCTTTTGCCACACTTCGGTCAAACTGAGTATTCCTGTATTGGAGACTGTCTTACAACATTACAGTCTATTCCTAGAAAGCACAGGCTTTAGACAACATCAGAAACACTAATATTTTCTATGTATTATCTAACTGTAATTGACAGAGACACTCCTAATTAACATCACTAATCTACAGAAAGCTAATAGTACGCCTTTTTACACTGTTTAAGGTGTGAAAAGTTCATGTTCTTGTACCTCAGATCTTGTTTCTTGCAATGCAGAGGTGATACAGCCATGTGCTCATTTATATTATGGCTCACACACACATATATATTTTAATATATACATGTAGGCAGATGTTTCTTGTCTCGGACCCGCTCAGTCCCAGATGCCAGGCTGCTGCTTCCCAAATTGCCACACACAGGCTTAATATTACTTATAAATGCTTGAACAATAACTAAGGCTTATTGTTAACTAGCTCTTACATTTGATGTTAACCCATCTTCCTTGCTTATGCTCTGCCACTTTGGTAGCTTTTCTCAGTACTGTGATCATCTCGCTCTCTCTGTGTGTGCCCGGCATCTGGCCAGTGTCTTCCTGACTCCGCCCTTCTCCTTCCCATCATCCTTAGTTTGGTTGCCCCACCTATGCTTCCTGCCTGGCTACTGGCCAATCAGCCTTTTATTAAATCAATATAAGTGACAAATATTCACAGTGTACAAGAGGATTATTCCACAGCATATATCCATGCACGCACATGTATTAATCATATATTAAACAGACCTGGGACTGAAAAGAAAAAGCAAGTGTATTCTGTATCATACCTTGTTATCTCTGCATTTGGGAGGTGGGAGCAAAAAATCACTTGTTCAGGGTCACTCCCTGCTTCAGTAGCAAACTCGAGGCCAGATATGTTACACGAGTCTTAAAAAAACAAAAGAAAACTTTTTTTTTTTAAAGGAGCCATTGTTCCTTTAGCAGGGGGATACTTTCAGTCCCCAGCAAAAACCTGGCTCCCTTGCACATGCGCTTGCCTGGGCTTGGTCTCCTGTATGTGTTTGCGTTCACTGTGTCGTCCTAAGCGCCATTGTTTTTCTTTTCCTACCGCATTCCACTGTTGGTTTGTTGATTTCCTCGTCTATTTTGCAGCCGTTTTCTTGACGTGTCCATCTGTATTCTCCTTCAGATACCAGAGGTAGATTCTTCGCTAAATTTGGGAAATGATCTCTTCTTTTCTAATACATTTTTCTTGTTTGGGTTATGCCTTACTTCTTATGGGTAAAGTCCTACTATGTAACTATAGCTGGCCTTGAACTCTATATAGACCAGGGTCTCCTTTGAGCTTCCAGAGATCTGCCTACCTCTGCCTCCTGGGTGCTGTTGTTAAAGGAGCACCACTATGTCCATGCCTTGTAATTATCCTTGATATGTGGACTTTATTAATAACAGTGACCCTTGTTGGGCTAGAATATCTGGAACTTCTCAAAGCTATCCTGGGAATACGTGTAATGGCCTTTGGACTGTGTTTTCATTGGCATTGAACTTAACATTCAAGTTTTAATGTTCTTCCCATTGGCTCTTTGAGAAAGCCAAGTCAGAATTCACTCTTTTGGTCAGGTCTCAAACAAGACCGAAATTGAATGTCTGATTCAGTCTTTACATCCCGAGGAAGGAGGCAGACATTTGGAGGCTGTCCTCCAGTTCCTGCCTTTGTGGTCTACACAGAAGCAGGGTGTAAGCAAGTACATCATCGTGACTTTTCTACATCTGAGCAGCTGCATCCCAGCTCTGTCCTTTTCTATTTTGTGTATGAGTCTCAGTTTGTCACCTTCCGTGCTGCAGGCAGCACACGTGGGTGAGTCCCTCACAGGTTTGCTTTGGCACATCCTGAGAATAAAATGTCGAGAGACCATGTTCAGCTTAGTGCAGGGATGTTTTTCTTTCCTCTTGCACTTTCAGCTCTATCTCTCTGTTAACTATTCATGGTTGTTGTAAAGGTTTAACTGAATAATTAATATACCACAGTGTATTCTGAGCTCTGTTTTAACTCTGTCAACAAACCAGAAAAACCTTCTGAGGTAGTTTAGATGAAAATGAGCCCATGAGTCATACACTTTAATACTTGGTCTCTACTGGTGATCGGTTTGGGAAGGATTAAGAGGTGTGGCTTGGAGGTGTGTCATTGAGGGCAAACTTAAGGTTTCAAAAGATTCCCATAATCCCCAGTTTGTTCCCCTGCCTTCTGCTGGTTTCTTTCCATCTAGGACTGAAGAATGAGCTGTGATTAACAAGAGCCTAGCACTATAGAACTGATGTTTGATACCAGGGCCTGAGAAATCAGCTGTGATTAAAAATAGACCAGAGCCACTGAGGTACTAGCTTCGGGCCTCAGTACAGTGAGCTGTGGTCTGGAGCAGGTCAAAACTGAATTTCAAGCTGGCAGCTGCCCTTTGTATGTATGAGTCTGTCACGTGGTACTGATTTTGAAAGCATGAAGAGTGATGGAGAGCAGGTGGGACATCGCACTGTGAGAGTTCTAGAAAGGCCATTGTTAATTTGTAGTGGAGACCGCATCAGTGACAGGGTCATGAAAGCCGGGTACGTGCAGACATCAAGACCAAGACTGTCCACTGTGATCAACTCACTTACCATAGGAATACAGGCTTGGATCAGTTTCTTTGGGGCTTTCTACTGGGAATGAAGTAGCCGGTTCATTCATACAGTTATATGTAGTAGGGAGGCTGCTAGTTAGATCCCAGCTGCTTGGGTGCAAAAATACCACACAGATGTTGTAGAGAGAGGGAGCGGGCCCTTACACCCGAAATAATCACACAGAAACTGTATTCATTAAAACACTGCTTGGCCCATTAGCTTTAGTTTCTTATTGGCTAATTCTTACACCTTAATTTAACCCATTTCTATTTATCTGTGTATCACCACGTGACTGTGACTTACTGGCAAGATTCTAACCAGCATCCATCTCAGGCAGAAGATCCATGGCGTCTCTCCCTCTGCTTTTCTTCCCAGCATTTAGTTCTGTCTTCTCCACCTACCTAAGTTCTGCCCTATCAGGCCCAAAGCAGTTTCTTTATTCATTAACCAATGAAAGCAACACATGAACAGAAGAACCTCCTACACCACACAGAAACAGTATTAATTAAATTACTGCTTGGTTCATTAGATCTAGGTTCTTATTAGCTAACTCTTACATCTTAATTTAACCAATTTCTATTAATCTGTGTATCATCACAAGGCTGTGGCTTACCATGTAAAGATCTGGCATCCATCTCCTGTGGGGCTACATGACTTGTCACTGACTCTGCCTTCTTTCTCCCAGCATTCAGTTTAGTTTCCCCCACCTAGCTAAGTTCTATAGGCCCAAAGCAGTTTCTTTATTCATTAACCAATAAAAGCAACACATAGACAGAAGGACCTCTCACACTAGTTAAATTTATAGGTTTCTGAAGAACATGCACAGTGCTTTTCCTAGTGTCTGTGATAGTTTACTTGGGTACCAACTGAGTATCAATGCTGTTGTTATCCATGATCCTTTCTAATAACTTTGTACAATTTACATGAGAGTGAATTCTAAGACTAGGCTGCAGAGAGCTGAGGGAATCCTTGTGACTTTGCATTTTATGGTCTCCATCAGAAAGTCTTTTGACAAGGTTCAGAGGATCCTGCAGAGAGGGGAAGGTGGAGACTCTACATATGTTCATAAGTACATACACATATGTCCAGTGCTACAAAGAGCAAAATCTGTTTATTTATTTAATTTATTTATTACCAGTCCAAATTCCTACTCCCTCCTCTCCTCCCATTCCCTTCACACACCCTCCCATCCCACCCCCTTTAATCCTAAGAGAGGGTAAGGCACTTTGCTTTGTGGAAGGTCCCAGGCCCTCCCTACTACATCTAGGCTGAGCAAGGCATACGTCCAAAGAGAATAGGATCCCGAAAAGCCAGTACATGTAGTAGAGATAAATCCCAGTGCCACTATCAGTGGCCCCTCAGTCTGAAAGAGCAGAATCTTATCTGAGACAGTATAGATATGTTTATTATTTCGGACCTGGAAAGTAGCACAGGATCTCAGCCATAGACAGACTCCAGAGAACTTGATCACACTGACACTGAAGGGATATGGGTGTTTCCAATGGTCCAGTGATATGAGGAAGAGATGCACGGGAAGTGCTGATCAGTGGGTGCACACTGCAGTTAGGTCGGAGCAGGATGCTGAGGATATTATTGCACAGAATCTTCAAAATTATTTAAGGACCATGCAAGGTATATATCTAGCTAGTATTATCTAACAAAGTATACAGCTAACATTATATAACCCTTCACTAATATGTACATCTCTCATTTTTACAAGTTAATCTAAACAGTAAGACTATTACTGCCCTCATGGATCATTTTGAACATTATACATTAAGATGGCAGGGGAGCTAAAATATAGAAAATTTAAAAGTAAGAGGTAAAAAAGGTAGTGTCATGTATTGCTAACACTAGACCTTTGAAGACCAATGCAATTGAGTCATGAGTTCAAAATCTGCTTTAGGAGCATCGCAGATACACGAATACCAGACAGAGAGGGAGAAACAAAAGAAAATATTAGTATTACATCTAGTGTATTTAGAATATTCAAATGTTGTCTTTGCTGTTAAATTGTCCTATTTGATTAATTTATGATAATTATTTTATTTCAGGAACTTCTGTCATTCACAGATGTGGCCATTAATTTCTCTGCAGAGGAGTGTGAATGTCTGGACTCTGCTCAGTGGAATCTGTACAGGGATGTGATGCTGGAGAATTACAGCAACCTGGTGTTCCTGGGTGAGGATCGCGTCAACAGGGAATTATTTATTCACGGTCAACATTTGACTTCCTCCATTTGTAGAATATCTTATGGGAGTTTGTGCTTTTGATTGATTAGCTTCCTTCCTTCCTTCCTTCCTTCCTTCCTTCCTTCCTTCCTTCCTTCCTTCCTTCCTTCCTTTCTTTCTAAGACAAGATTTCTCTATGTAGCACTGACTCTCCTGAAGATTGCCTTGTAAATTAGGCTGGTCTCTGCCTCCCAAGTGCTGGGATTAAAGGTGTGTGCCACCACCCTTGCAGCTGGTCGATTAGTTTCGTATGCCCATTTTTAAAGGAAAAATTAGGGGAAATGTCAATATAGCTAAGAAACATTCTCTTTTTGTGCTTTTATCAGGTTTGTTTTTCTAGTGTGCACCCTGTGGTAGCAATGTTAGAAGTTCAGCGGCCTGAGCCATGGAGCCCATGTGTTAAAGAAAGTGTCCCCCCCCCCCCTGCCTGCTTCATCTTTAATACTTTAGTACTTTTCCTGGAATGAGGTTCAGGATCTGTAGGTTATAAACTACTCCTAAGCATCCTGTATTTCATGGAATATTTAAACACAGGATTTTCCATAATTGTGTACCATCTTTTTCCTTATAAGAACAGAACTGGGGTTCATGTGATAATTTCTAGAAGAAACAGCCAAGCATCTTGTTCTCTTTTCCAAACAGGTCTTGCTTTCTCTAAGCCGTATCTGGTCACATTTCTGGAGCAAGGTACAGAGCCTTGGAGTGTGAAGAGACAATCAGCAGCTGCCAGCCGTGCAGGTGTGTAGGAACGGGCACAGTAGAGCCAATCAATGACAAGTCCGTGTAAAGTGTGTATTGAGAAGTTGTGTTTTGCTGGAAACCTCTTACTGTTAAAGGCTTTTCCTGTATGATGTTTACTGTGATAATCCCCCTCTCCAGGAAGCTTTGGATGTTTTAGTAGTGATTGCCAAAGTCCTTTATCATCATTCCTCGTTTTGTTGTATCTCTGTGTAGTGTCTGTCTGTATTCACATCTGCACGTGTCTGGGTGCCTGTGTGCATACAGGTTCACATGCACACATGCTTCTGGAGGAGCAACGCTGATGTTGAGAATCCTTCTTGATCGCTCTCCTACCTTATTCATGAAGTCAGGGTTTCTTAGACAAACTCAGAGCTCGTCCCCTCAGCCAGTTTGCTCTAGGGATTTCCCTGTCTTCATCGTCCAGCCTTGGAAACACAAGCCAGACACCATGGCAACCCCACATTTACAAACACTCTGGTATCCGAACCCCAGTCTTCATACTTGTGTGGCAGGCATGTGAACTGCTGAACCATCTTCCCAGTCCCGGTCCTTTCATTTTGCCCTGGAAGGTCTAGATTACTACAGGCTTTTCTTTGCTTCCTATGAACTAGAAAACATCTACACACTTCTAAAAGCCTTAGTAGCACAGTAACACACAGATAAGCATCTCTGGTTTCATTTACATGATCATAAGCCGAACTAGTTTCATCAGAGCGCTCACGTGTGTGCATGTGTGTACACATGACACTGCCGGTTTTGAGGACAAGGGACACTCGAGCTGATTTTCTCCTTCTGCCGTGTGGGTTGTGGGGATGGAGAAGAGGTGTCAGACAGATTTGGGGTCACTGCTCTTTAACTTCTGAGCCATCTTACTGGTCTGATGATGTATTCCTATAAAGGTTGGGTGTATTTGTATACTTTTTTTTTTTTGCCACACACTCAATGTTTTAAATTTAAAATGCCATGCTTTTACAAGTATGTAGTCATAGCTGAAAACTATATATCTAGATAAACTCCATTAGTAGATCTTTGATACTCTTTCCAATTTTTATGAGTCCCAACCTCATTTTCTTTTTTTTCTTATCCTGCAACTTTATTTTCTGTGTTTGATTTTTTTTTTTTACTCTCGACTCCTTTACATTTTATGATAATATGCTTAGCTGTACCCAGGATGTTTTTCTAGATGATACTACCTGTTACTTACTGTATTCTGTAGAACAATATAAGAAAGTAAGATATCTATGCTTTAGGTCTATTGAGTGTGAAACTGTTATCATTGCCTATAAAAATATCATTCCCAATTTCAAGCCATGTGTATTTTCTCTCTTCGTTGGATACTCAATAGTTGTAGCCCTCTAAGTGGGTGTTCTCAGAAATTGTGCAACTTTTGTATTTATTGACAGACATGTTCCACTTAGCTGGACTTATGCCACTTGTAAGTCAATGAGAAAGTTTTTTGTAATTTGATTTTTTAAAAGTACTTATACTATTGTTGGTAAAACATAACACTCTCTTAAATATATACTGTATACTGTTTAAAAGTGTTATGTAGCAAATCTTCACAAGATTTTATAGCTTTGAAACAGGAAACTGTATGCTCAAAAAAATTTTTGTATTTCTTCCTCCAACCAATCTATCACAATCACCATTGGCTTCCTGTTTGACATGTGTTTTAACTGTGAGTTTTATGTAAGACCAAAAATAGAGTATTTATATAATGGGTTTATTTCCTTTAGTACAATGCCCTTTTAGAATTTTTTATTTAGGTGTTATGTCAAGTTTGGCTATTTAAGGTAAGTAGTTCTCCATTTTTTTTTTGTTCCACATTGTCTTCACATTCTCAGTTCAGTGGTAGATTAGGTTGTTACAACTGTATTTTCCAAATGATTCTACTAGGGATATAGGTGTGCAAATGTCTATACTTTCCCATTATGATGTCTCTATGTGTCAAAATATAGTCACAATTTTAAAGTATTCATATTAAAAATTGAGCAGCACAGTTATAAAATATGATGGCATACTTATGCTTGTACTGACCCTTCAACCCCTTTCCACAGGATCCAAACCCCATAAATGTAAAGAATGTGGGAAGGCCTTTGATAGAAACTCAGTCCTCATTCAGCACCAGAGAATTCACACTGGAGAGAGACCCTATGCGTGTGAAGAATGTGGGAAATCTTTCAACTATTCTTCCAGCCTTAAACAGCACCAAAGAATTCACACTGGAGAGAAACCGTACAAATGTGAGGTATGTGGCAAAGCCTTTAGCTGTTCGTCATATCTGGGTAAGCATCAGAGAATCCACACTGGAGAGAAGCGCTACAGATGTGAAGAATGTGGTAAGCCTTTCACTAATTGCTCAGGCCTTGTTGTTCACCGAAGAGTCCACACTGGAGAGAAACCCTACAAATGTGAGGAGTGTGGCAAGGCCTTTAGCGTTCGCACAACGCTTTCGAAACATCAGATAATTCACACTGGAGAGAAGCCGTACAGATGTGAAGAGTGTGGAAAGACTTTTAATGTTCACTCAACACTTTCTAAACACCAGAGAATTCACACGGGAGAGAAACCTTACAAGTGTGAAGAATGTGGCATGGCTTTCAATGTTCGCTGCATCCTCTCTAAACACCAGAGAACCCATACTGGAGAGAAACCCTACAAATGTAAAGAATGTGGCAAAGCTTTTAACTGTTCGTCCAGCCTTCACCAACACCAACAGATACATAGAGGAGAGAAACTCTACAAATGTGATGATTGTGACCAGGCGTTTAGCTGTTCTTCTTACCTGTACAAGCATCGGCGAATCCACAGTGGTATGAAACCCTACAAATGCAAGGAATGTGGCAAAGCCTTTTACTGCTCTGTCAACCTTATTTACCATCAAAGAATTCATACTGGAGAGAAACCATATAAATGTGACGAGTGTGGAAAAGCCTTTAGCATTTGTTCAACTTTTATGAAACACCAGCGAATACATAGTGGAGAAAAACCTTATAAGTGCAAAGAATGTGACAAAGCCTTTAATAATTGTTATAATCTAATTCAACACCAAAGAATCCATACTGGAGAAAAGCCCTTCAAATGCAAAGACTGTGGCAAAGCCTTCAATTATACTTCAAGCCTTGCTCAGCATGAAAGAATTCACACTGGAGAGAAACCCTACAAATGTGAACAGTGTGGCAAGGCCTTTAACTCTTCTTCAAACCTTAAACATCACTGGAGACTCCACACTGGAGAGAAGCCCTACAAATGTGAACAGTGTGGCAAAGCCTTTAAAAATTGTTCAGGCTTTACTCGACACTACAGAACTCATATCAGAGAAAATCCAGATTAGTGTAAACACTGTCTCAAAGCCTTCAATAGTTGTTTATTGATACTTCAACACTAGAGAATTCATAAGAGAAACTCTACAAGTGAAAGGGATAAGGGAAGACCTTTAATAACCCTTATTCAACATCCAACATTTCATACTAGAGAGACCTTATAATGGTGAAGAAGATGACTCTCTTGAGCATTCTGTATTTATGCAACATCAAAATTTAGATTTCAGAGAATCCCTACAAATGCCAATAATGTGGGAAGTCCTCTTTAACCACAAGTGAATTCTAATCAAACTTCATATACGCATAATGCCTTGGGAAGGAACAGTCAGCTATATAACACTGGGAGAAGCAAAGAGTAAATGCACTATGTAAGCAGTGTTGCAAGACTTTCCTCATCATGTAGACCTTAAGAGGTTTAAGGAAATGAGCGTAGACAAACTTCATGAATTGTATGCATAGAATTTAACACAGCATGGAATATTGCTTATAATTCATAGGGGACTTTGATGTGATAGAAAAACTCATTATAGACTTTGGGATATAGATAACTTAAGTTTATGAGGATATCAATATGTTATAAATACAAGTTATAACATACACTCAATTTTGAAAACTATGGGATCACAACTGTTAGGTAATTTTTTCAGAAGAATATGACTGAGTCCTGAGACTTAAGTGTCTGTTTCTTTTTTTTTTTTTCAGAAATCATATAATGCATTATTGGAATATGAAATTTAGTGACTTTTATAAATAAAACTGAGCAGTTCTTAAATGCATTGTCAATGTTGTGTATAGAATTACATTCTGCTATAGACATTAAGGTCTCTACCTTAGTGAGGTGTGAAGGCTCACCTTGGTTGTCCTCTTGACACATCCAGGAAGAGGGACCGTCAATTAAGGATCATCTCTATCAGATAAGCTTATGACCATGACTGTTACGTTTTCTTTAGCACAATGATATAGGAGGTCCCAGTCCACAGAGGACTATAGCAGCCCTCGGCTGTGAGCCTGGGCTGTGTACGAACCGTATCCAAATGAGACTGGGAGTAAGCCAAGTAAGTAGCATTCCTTCGTGATCTTTGCTTAGGTCCCTGCGTCACATTTCTTCAATGACGGACTGTAATGTGTAAAATGAAATAAACCCTTTCTTCTCCAAGTTGCTTTCTGGTCATGGGGTTTATCAAAGTAGCAGAAACAAACTAGGGCCTAAGGAATCTAGGTAACATTTTAATTATAACTACTGGCGATTAGTGGGATAATTAGTCTGTTCCAATGTTAATGTGCTTCAGCTAATTTGTAGCATATTATCATTTATGTTGTATCATTATTCATCCACTTATCAATCAGTTTTATATCATGCATTTTATAATAAAGTTATGCCCTTTTGACTCTTGTATTTTATATCAAATTCTATCAAAGAGTTTTACTATAGAACCTCTTCAGCATAACGGTATACTCACTGCTAGGAGTCATTCACATCAGCTGAAATATGCAATTATCATATGTACGCTGGGACTGAGAGAATTTGAGGGGACTGCTCAAGTAGAAGATGTCTTAGGATTTCTATTGTCATGAAGAGACACCATTACCACAGCACCTGTGACAAAGAACAGCATTCAGTTGTGGTGGCTCACTTACAGTTCAGAGGCTCAGTCCATTGTCATGGTAGGACATGGCAGTGTTCAGGCAGACATGGTGCTGGAGAGGTAGCTGAAATGTCTACATCTTGCAGGTAACTGGAAATGGATGGTCTCACTGGGTGTGGCTTGAGCATATATGTGACTTGAAAGCACACCTCCACAGTGACATCCTTCTTCCAACAAGGCTACAAGTGCCATGCCCCTTGGGAGCCATTTTCTTTCAAACCGCCAAAGAAGCTAGTTGGAAATAGTTGACTTCTCATTATTGACCAGTCAACCACACATCCTGAGCCACACGCACACCCCTGATCTTCAGAGAGCTCATTTCTCTAAATAATTTGCTTTTTAGTCTTTTTTTTTTTTTTGAGACAGGGTTTCTCTGTGGCTTTGGAGCTTGTCCTGGAACTAGCTCTTGTATACCAGGCTGGCCTTGAACTCACAGAGATCTGCCCACCTCTGCCTCCCAAGTGCTGGGATTAAAGTCATGTGCCACCACCACCTGGCTGCTTTTCAGTCTTTTTATGCTGATTCTAATATTGTTAGTCTTGCATCACATAATACATTGTTTATAAAAGAAGGAAGGTTTAGTTTACCAATTACGTGCTTTTAGTAATGTCTAATATTATTAATCATTTTCAGAAATTGCCTTTAAAGTATGATACTAAGTGAATATACTAAGATACACATTCATTTATTATTACATCTTATATTTTAAAACATATTCCTCTTCATTTTGATAAGATACAGCTTAGTAGTTGTTTATTGAGATACTATGTTGAAGTGGACGCTGGGAAAGCTTCATATATGTTATTGTTAGAAACAAAATAATCTTCCCTAGCAAGCAGAAAAACTCAGAATGGGATTCTTGGTTTTTTGAAAAAGAAAACTGATGGTATGAAAACAACTGTGCTGTCTCTTCAGAGCGGGCACTGAGCTTCTGGAGAGCACGTTTCATTTCCTAGTGTCTTATTCTTTGGTGGTTCATTTTAACTCCCAGCTACATGCTCAACACAGCCATTGTCCTTTATAGCCAACACTACGACTCTTGCTTATTTTCTCTTCTCCCCACTCAACTTCATCTTCCGGAAATTTTCATTTCTGATGTGTACTCTCATTTTCTCTATTGTAAGGGTATTTTCAGGTACTCATGACATTCTTCATTTTAAGTGCTCGTTCCTAATTGATCCAAAGTAGTCATAGTTGTGTATGCTGTAGAATATGGTTTTGATATATTTGTCAATTGTGCAATAAATGGAATTTGCAGATATAGTGCCTCAATCATTTATGATTTTTATGGTAAGAATAGCTGGGGTCCTTCAGGCTACCGTGTTATGGATCGCAAGCTATGAGCTGTCAGTATCCTGTAGTGATACTGAGGGCTTCCCATATAAATTATATATTAGTATGTCTCATTTGGAGAAATAATTACTATATATGTCCAATTTTGAACCAAATTATCTGAGTAGTTTTGATATGTCGTTTGACAACACTATCATCTGAATTAACCATTGAGGGATTCATTTCGGACAAACATTCATCATCGAATTCTAGAACAATTTGACTGCCCATACTCCTACTACACACTGCATAGATTTCAGCTATTTCTATCAGGTAATCAGTAGGGAAAAGCTCATGAGTGAAGCCTCTCTAGAAGCCCAAATCACAGATTCTTTTCTCTCTTCCCTGGTCCTCATTTACCCTTTGCAGTCTAGAAGCCTCCAGCGACGGTGTTTTTCTTTGTGTGAAGCAGCACTGCCTTTGTAGCCTTCTTTACTGCAGAGTTTGGCTTAAAGCATATACTTCCGGTGTTTTCAGTTTCCATTGCTTTCTTTCTGAGTGAAGTATTACATATACCAAACTTGTTTCAAACTTGCCGTGTACCGAAGGATGACCTCAGACCTCTGATGGTCCTGTCTCAAGTACCCAAATGCTGTGATTTCCAATGTGTAAGACTGGACTGCTTTTATGCAAGCACCTTTAGTGTGAATTTCCAAATACAAAGACCATAAACACCTTTTCACATATTATCTGTTTGCGTTTCACATTTGAAGAATGGTCTTTTCAGAACGTTTGTCCACTTTTAAGGTTAGTGATTTGCTTTTTCTTATGAATTCTTTTGTAGTACTTCATAACACCCTCGATATTAAACTTCTGTCTGATACAGTTGGCCAACAATTGTTCCCACTCTTTCACCTCTTACTCTCTCCGGTGTTTCTACTGTTGTTTCCATTGCTCGGCAGAAGCTTCTTAGTTTCATGTGATCACATTTGTCGGTTCCAGTGATAATGTCTTATGTTGCTGGAATCTGGTTACCTATCTGGTAACTTAGAAATTTAAAATCTTTGACCTTTGATTTTTCGCAGCAGGGTAAGAGATGTGGATCTACTTGTATTCTCCTTTATATGGAATCCAGGTTTTCCACATCATTTATTTAAAAAGGTATTTGGGGGCTGGGAAGATGGCTCAGTGATTAATGGCACTGGCAGCTCTTCCAAAGGTCCTGAGTTCAACTTCCAACAATCCACAGGGTGGCTCACAAACATCTGTAGTGAGATCTGATGCCCTCTTCTAGTGTGCAGGCATACATGCAGGAAGAATAAATAAATTTTTAAAAGTAGTATTTTCTTCAGTATATATTTTTGTTACTTTTGTCAAAACTGGGGCTGTAACCATTTGGTTTTTTTCTTGATCACACAACACATACCCCCTCCCCCTGTGTGGGTGTGTTTAGTTTTTTATGAGCCAGGGTTTATGTAGTTTTGGCTGTCCTCTGTAGACCAGGCTGGCCTCACACTCCACCTGTCTCTGCCTCCCGAGTGCTGGGATTAAAGGTGTGCGCCTCCACTGTCCAGGCCTAGATGGTATATTTTATTCCAGTCTGTTTAGTGATATGGCTTTCAGTTTTTACTGTGGTTGTGTAATCTACATTGAGGTTGGACACAGTGTTACTTCCAACAATGCTTTTTATAGCAGATATTGCTTTATTTATTTAGAGTCTTTTGTGCTTCCTTGTGAATTTCTAAGTTGTGGCCTTTTCTATTTCTGTGGCCACTGCCATTGGAGTTTCTCCATCTCTTCTTACAACCACTTTCTGAATTTCTCAAGTAATTCCTCCATTGCTTTGTCTATCTAGTTTTCAATCTTTGCTGCTTTTCAGAGGTGTCTAAAGAGCTACAAGTCATGAAATATTTTTACAGTTCTTGACTTAGGGAGTTTTCCATGTTCAATTTTGTCATTTGATCTTTTAACCTTTTCAAGAATTTGGTCAGATATTCCTTCTTCCTCTGTTGAATATTAAAGACCTTATTCATAGTTTGGTTTCTGGTGTTTGATTCCTGATTCCTCTGCTAATAAGATCCCCACATCACTAATATATTCCTGATGGGTCTTGAGGTTATTATTCCACTGGGGATTCTGGGCAGGATATTCAACATCTGTGGCCCAAACCCTGGTAGAAATGGAATGGCCCCTCCTATATGACCTTGGCAGCCTGCCTATTCATCATCATCCTGCCCTAGGAAGAGAGTGGCCTGGATCAACATCTAGTTCATTTTGTATTCCCAGGAACAATTCTGAAGCCTTTGTATTCAGGGTATAATTGCTTCTCCATCCTGAGTTGGGGGTAGTGAGAGAAGTTCAAAGCAGATACCCTCGATTTTCAGAACACACTCTGAAGAGCAGTGTCAGGGCCAGGAAAAATACTGGAATTGAACATTCTAGATCAAGCCTAATGTGGCGGGAAATCCTACCAGACAGATGTCACTTGTCCACTCAGGGCGCATTATCCTCCGCCCTAAAGATGAATTCTCTCAGGGAAAGGCATAGCCTGAGAAACCTTTTAAACAACATGGAATAGCGTTGAAAGGGCACAGACTGATCTCAACACTTCTATTCAGATGGCAGAAGCCCTGAACCGGGGCTCAGCCTTGTATCTATCTACTACATTTGAATTGCTAAACACCAATAGCACTTGGGTAGGGCAGTGTGATAGAACCGACTTCCCAAGTTACAACCTTAAATCAGGCCTAGAGCTTCTATTAACCTGATAAACTGTAGGGGATTCTCCTCTGAACTCTACTCAAAAAGAAATTCCCTTTGTTCTTGCTGGATGGCCTCCATATTCCAGCTTCCCCACTGCGAATGGCCATCATTATTGAAAGACTTGATCTCCCGAAATGTGCCTCTGAGCATCTGTATACAGAACCTGGGAAGAATGGTCAACGTTTAAAACATTCTGTAGCAGGCGAGTTTTACATCACAACATACGGACCAAAGTAAGCAGTAGCCCTAATAGTCATTGCCGTCAAAGGTTCGACTCACATTCAAACAGCTCATTTTGAGAGCCCGAGATTTTAAAAGCGGCAGCCTGACTCCCTGTGGCTGTCCACGTGCAGACGATGCTTGTTTCTACCTATCCTCTTGTCAAACAGACTACACTAAGCCAGAAACTTTACAAATCACCTTTCCGTGCTTCCGGAAACTCGCTCGCACTGAATTGTGGGAAATGTAGTCTCGCCAGCGGCGACGTCACAAACAGGGACCCTGGAAAGGGCGCTTCCGCGTTTCTTCTGCGCCTGTGCGTCTCCGCTCTTGGCCGGCTTCTCCAAAGTTGGTCCAGTGTCTCGGGCCCTGTTGGCGCTCTGCTAGCATCTCTGACATGGAGGTTGGTCCAGGATGTAGCGCAACCGGAGGGACGGTGCGGGGTGGGCGGGTCCGGGTTGGAGGGAGCACTCCCGGCGTTGGTGGGA